CTAGTATTTTGTGATAAAAAATCTATGCGGACTTATCTTGCAATTTAATTTCTTATAAATTTTTCATACTAAAGTTTATACACTAGAGGTATGCGAGTACTCGGTATTTTGACTGGAGTTCGGTATCCGAGGTATTCGAATACTCGAGCGTACTTACCTACATGTAGTTCGAAAAATCGATTCTATTGGCCAAAAGGCAATTTTTCAAGTTCCATATTTTGAGAAAATATTTTCTGTTGTAAAGTAATGGTACTTAAAACCTTCGAAACCCCGAATATTATTCATTTCCGATAATTGTGCAATCGAGGGTAATTTCACTATATTTCGATTATTTAATCGTACTTTAATTGTAAGCGTTTTTTCATTTATCTAGAAGTAGTAAAGGGTTTATAACAATTTCAACTTTGAAAGTTCTTTAAAAAATGATTAAGAGGGTACTTTCATATGGAACGGCAGTTTTTGGATGTACTTTGAGAAAGGTTTTTTTTAATCTGGACGGCATTTTTTGTTAATTTTTTACACATATAGTTATTAATATTTCATCTGTTATCTAGCATCCTTTTCCTTGTAATTTCAACACGATTTCTTATTGGGCATGATGAAAATACAGTGAGTTCTTTAATAAAGTCGAGAATTTCGACAGGATTTTATAAAATAATTCGGTCCTTTAGAGATTAATATATGTATATACTTTATAAATATATATTAAACGCGTATTGTCGCATTCGTACGCCAAGCGTCCGCGACCGTCAATTCAATATATTAAGCCCTCCGCACTAGGGTCGTTGCATCGTAACAATAAATGATTAATCTACGATTGGTGAACTCATTCTGCACGCATAGCGACCACCCAACAAATTTATGTATGTAAAAACAATAGACGACTGGCACAAATTAATAATTTCCGCTAACTTCACTCGACAATACGATCACGGTTTGAAATTAGTAATTAGCAACCAAGCGTCATCAAATCGAATTCCAATTTCCGCTTCTAAAATCGTGAAACAAAGGCTGACTTAATAGAAATTCGAAACATTCAAAATCCAAATAAATCAAGGACATGTAAAGAAATAAAAATAACAAATAATGACCAAATAGATAGATTATTTGTGAAATACTTAAAAAGAAAAACATCTAACGAATAATATAACATATTATTCAAAAACATATAACTAAATATATATTTGTACAATACATGATGACTGCAGTGATGCTCGTTTATATTTCACAAAATCTGCTCGGCTAAATTCCACTGCAGCATCGCTACACTTCCCTCACTACACACTGTCTCAAGCTCAGTGTAACGTTGATCTCAGTAGACAGGGACAGAAGATAAATATAATCAACATAAACAGGATAGACGCAGTCAATCAAGCATCGAGAGTCGAGGCGCGGGCTTCAGAACCACGCCGCGCGCGTCGAATATAAACATGCAATGAAGAAAATTTAAAGTTTAGTAATTTTAACCTTACTTTCTCAATCGCAATACTAATGGAATGTCGAGATTCTTCTCATTAAAATGAGTCCAAACACGTCGTAAATTGGTATAGTTTTGTCGATTTCGTGGGAACGAATATTTAATTTCATTAATTACACTAAATCGGTAAAACTAGTCCGATTTCCATCGTGTTTGGACTTATTTGAATCACAACAATTTCAGAAATTTACTGGCACTGCATTTGTGAAGATAAGGTTAAAGTTACTGCAACTAAAATTTTTTTCATTGCATGTTTATATTTGACTTATTGACAATTCTTGGAAACAAATAGCTTTCTTTTGTTTTTCTGCTCGGTTAAATTTCACTACTAAGACCTGAAGTTGTGGAATCTAAGCAAGCATTACTGTACATCTTTCTCATCACTCGAAATTCTTTAAACTGATAACATTTCCATCACTAATACATTATTCACCATTATCACTATTTACACAGTAATTAATCGATACCGAAAGCGAAACACAGCGAAACTCCTCTTTTGCACTTGTGCCGTCCTGGTTGCCAACATTTCGTCGCATCGTACGCCAGGCATATGCTACCGTCAATTTCCGAAACAATTATGCTACGATAACGCGACTCACGTGCGAAGGGCCTTACGCTGACAAGAAATTGAATTTCCAATCGTGGGCTAAACACTTTATACACCTATAACCATAACCTTTTGTATCATTGTGACAGAAAAATATTTTATAGAACAGCCTTCTGAGCTAACTGTTGTATCGTATTTAGAAGTTTAAATTTTAATTATATTAATTAGATTTTTAGTTTTTGTGGAACACCATAAAACTTGCAGTAACGTAAGAAATTTTGTTAGTTTGAGCGTCTATACATTGGTTCATAAAACTTATATGTAAACAAATATTCAATTTATTTATGATACATCCATGACTAGTGACTACTATCTCAAAAGTAACGAGTTCCAGTCATACCCATTACTTCTTTACTGTACCAAACATTCTATAAGATATACATTACCACTAAAAACTTACATAAAAGTAAAAAAGAATTCTATTAAATAATACCGAATTATCAGCATGTTTCTCATAGTACCAATCTCATTCTATATTTAAAATAATTGTTCGAATTCTTTTATCAACATGTATTATGCAGTGGTAATTTCGTCACGTGCTGTGTAGAGATTACTAAAAGAAAATTGTAGCAATACAATTATATCTGGTTCATTTCAACGTACGAAGTATTTACGGTCATTCAAATGCAATCAGTAGCATCACGCATGTGAATAGTAATGTACCTCCAAGAGGCGTAATGAGCAGGTTGTGTTTCTGCACGTTCGTTAGCAGCCAACGTTACAGTGTAGTGCTCAACAAAAATGAAACCACCTCTAGCTCTAGTGAAATACGAAATATGAGAGACGTCTGTTTTCCAATTTGTCACTGCGGATGATATATTGACTAATCGAAGTCCGAAAATTTGTGGGCGTGCCCTGTGTATCAGAAAAAGGAGATGCTTAATAGAACGGAAATATATTAGTCTTGCCAAATGATCATAGAATCTGGTAATACATTGTAATTCAAATATAGGAAGAAGCTTTTAATAATACAGTAAGAAGAACTTAAGTTTCATTAAAACAGTTTTTAAGGAATTCATACGCCTCTAACAAGTTTAACTAATTGTAAGTTCTACTATTAGTACTTATTAATGATATTTGTGAATATGTGAAATATATATTATATTTGATCAATTTCATAAGTAATTAATTAAGTATTGTGCTCCGTTTGATGTAAAAAGAGGCGAAAGGTTAAACGAAATTAACTCTAAATTTTCTATATTATAAATTAAAAAAGATAGCTTTCAAAAATCTCAAATTCTTTTAGTTTTTATAAGAAACCGTCGGGTTCACATTGGAAAGATTTTTTTACAATTACAAAGTAAAAGTGTGAACGGAGGCATTCTAATTCTAAGAAATATAGATCCGATAATACCAGCCTCTGTTATCTAATTGTAAGTGAAACTTATTCCAATTACATACATATGTATTGTACTGTGAAATTCGAGATAATTGATGTAAGCCACCACCACAGAGGCAAACGTGTGGCCATATTGTAACCATCTCACGGACACACTCATGTATACAGAATTTAAAGTAGTAATATCGAATGTGTCTCGCGGTTATCTCAGCAACTAAATGGGTTCAAAAAATATCAATTTCTGTAATATATGCCTATTTTTTCAAAATTGATAACTTCGTCTACAAAATGAATAATACCTTTGTATAAAATCTGAGTACTTGTGTATTATGCATTAGGTGATGCTCGATGTCTAGCGGGACGGCAAAGGGGTAAGGACCGGTTTTCGCTGTGCGCGTTACGTGACGCGACGGATTTAATGTATGTGACCGTTTTGACCAATCGCACGCTGGAGCGGAAAATACGCAAGGCAACGAACAAGGTGCCTTCCATTCTGACTACTAAGATCCGCATTTCTCAGCTTAGCTATTAAATAATCTCCATACAGTATTAGGTATGTATAGTACTCCTCTCACGTCTTCAGCCGCGACCTAAAAGCTACATACTATCCTCCAACGACGTTTGGTAACTTGTCCCGCGAATTGAAAAGGTAAGTGCGGCAACGGGACACGTCTACTCATGTTGAACGTTGACGTCTCGATTTCGACCGCTTATGTTATTCGCTGATTCGCGTGAACGAAGACCACAAATGAAACAGAATACGACAGTGTATCATTGTATCTGACTTTGCCGTTTTCTGTTTTGTTTGCGTTTCTCATTACTTCTCTTCGAGCACAGTTTGACAAAGTCAGTGAACGAGTAAATAAGAAACGAGATAGACACAGTCCGCCGAACATCGAGAATCAAGACGCGAGAATTCCAATTTCTTTCTCAAACGTAGTGTCAGCCATTTGTAGAGGTTGTTGTGATAAAAAAAAGTCCAAACACAATGTAAGCCAGACTAGTTTTACCGACTTAATGTAATTAACAAAATTGAAGGTTCATTTCCTCAAAATCGATAAAACTTGTTCGATTTACATCCTGTTTGGACTTTTTTTAATCACAACAATCCCAGCAATATATTGGCACTACGTTTGCGAAAATAAGAATGAAATTAATGAAATTGATATTTCCTTTATTGCATGTTTATATTTGTCTATATGAAGTCCCGCATCTCGACCCTTGTTTATATCGTACTCTGTCATATTCTGTTTCATTTGCGTGCTTCGTTTACGTGAATCAACCAATAATAAAAGCGATCGAAACTGAGGCGTCAATGTTTATCGCGAGTAAATGTGTCTCCTTTCCTCTTCAGTTCGGGGTACAAGTTATGAAACTCTTTGGAGGACAGTAAAAGTGCACAGGACAAGAGAAAGCGTCCATTCGCGGCGCTAGACTGGGTAGTAATTGCAACGGTGATGTCTCAGTTTCGATGCGTCCTTGTTATTGGCCGAGTCGCGCAACAAAGAATGCAAGCGAAACGGAATGTGATGAAGTGAGATGTGCAATGCGTTATTTACGTGAGTCAAGCCGGCCAGTGGCTCAAAAGTGTAGAAGGGCAAGGGGACTCGGCCTCACGGTCCACCTCAGCTCGCGGCTCGGCCAGTAACAAAGACGTGCCGAAAGTAGTTCCGCCATTACTATCGGGCCGAGCGCCGCGAGTGAACGTCTCCCCTTGCTCCTCTGTACTTTTAACCCCTTACGATACAATAACGTGTGAAACTCGTGGTGAAGATTTTAAACAGACTTTAACAAATATAAATATCACTCAGTTCTCGTGAATTCCAATGAAATATTATTTTTCTGTTATAAATTATTATATTGTAGAGCAGATTTCGACATAGAATATACATAGAATTTTTCTCTTTTTCCAATAAATTATTAACGACAAAGTTGTTATGTTGATCAGAGTTGAGAAATAAATTATAGGGCAAGGGGCTAACCTTTTGCACTCCAAATTTCTTTTGCACTTTTTCCTCGATAACTCTGTGTTATTACGATATTTTATTTGAAATACATTTTAAAAAATAGATAATTCGTAGAGAGCAGTGTAAACGATTCTTCTTACTAATAATATTGAAAATAACATAACAATATAATCTACTTTAAAAATATCTTAACAAAGAAGCACACCTGTAAATAAAACTAATGTCGAGCCACGTTCGACATAGGAGCGCAAAGGGTTAAACCACAGGCCAGCTTGGGTCATATGAGTAACGCACTGCACGAACGTTGGTGTTAGATTTTGCTTCTGCACAGTGGCGGCTTTTTATGTTTATCGAATTCTGAAAACACGGAGGCTCGGCTACTATATTTCCTGGCAGGACTAAGGTGGAGCGTGCAGATGATTCTCCTTGCTCTTGTGCACTTTGAGCTTGATGATCGCGGATGAAAACGTGAGCTGCACTGTATGTATTTCTTAATATCTTGCCACTCGAGTATTTTGATGTGTCATTATGATATATAGGTATCGTAAGAAATGTACACGCACGGAAAAATTTTAAATAATAATCCAGGAAGCGATACTTGGGACAACGTTCCAAGTTACTAAACAATATCTTAAATATCATTTTAAAAAGATTTTTAAGGTAAAATTTCAATTGTCAAGATTATCATTCTAAATAACTTTTTCCTGTAGGTACATATTATCCCCTTTCGGTGTTAGTTTTTTGATATTCTCTCTATTACTTAAACATATATTCTCAAGGTCAGTATTTTGAGCACCTCTTTATACACATAAACACTGCTCGGGTTTACTGTTTGTTTCAAGATACAGGCGAAAATATATTCAATATTACATAAGTACCGTAGTTACTTTGTGTGGCACGTTTCGGTTAGATTAGGGTGCGGTGATTAATTCCGGCCGTCGCGCAGTGCAGCGACGTAAAGTTAATCGTTCCCGTTAAATTTTACAATTTTAAAATGTAGTTGTTATTTTGCCCATTACCAATTCAAAACCTAAAAACTGCAGAACATTAAATACATAATATTAAGAATATTTTTACATATACCTCGAAAATTAAAGTTGAACGGCGCGATGGTAACATACAGAGAAATAAAAAATGTTAGTAGAAAAAACTGTTGTTACTCAAAATGTCAACTTATCATTGAATAATTAAGAATTAATTAATATATAATTAATTAAGATATAACTATCCAATCCAATTTAACACATTCGCGATCAGCATATGTTTCAGTAGTCATTTTTACAGTTACAACATTTCATTACATTCAAGAAATCGTTTCCAAAAAATCTAAATAAAATTCAAGAAAAAAATTGTGTCACCTTCCTATACCTTAAATCATGCGTTACTATTTTAAATACATATACGCATGAAGGTAATCTAATTTTCTCTACCCACGGTATAATATGTAGAGCGTCACAAATATGTGACGTCGGTCGCAAACATGTTATATGTTCCTAAATAAGCACTGCATATTCGACAGAAAGGTAAAAATGACGATTAATGATCAATTCAGTTGAATGGAAGATTGTTTTTTTTTTAATGCAAAGAGATTTCAGATGACTGCGTTTGATGACACTTATCGATAGTGAATTGTTTCGACGGATTGCTCGTCATCACAATTGTTCATGGTTTGTCTTAATTATTAATCACGACACGATTACGTGGTGTGTTTTCGTTGTAACGTTTTCGTCGTCCCGTGCAATTTGTTAAAGACGCGTGAACAGGGTAGAGAGAAATTCGTTCGGTGAATTTCGCGCAACAATGACGACGGATTCAATTATTAAGACGGTAAACGTAACGGTATTGTTCACGCAGCGCAATCGAATTCCGAGTGGAAACATTTCGTCTCGAAATTAACCGGAATTCGTATGTTTAGCGATAGACTGTCGGTGTAAAGTTTAACATGACTGCGCGAAATGGAAATTAATTAGACCGTCGGTATGTGTATAGTTGAATGCGTGCTCGAAGCATACCGAAGTAACCAGTGTAGAGATTAGTAATCATATGGGTTAATGAGATATTGATTTACGCCAGGCATCATCTCATATACATCGAGATTCAATTAAAATTCTCTGTATAAAGCACGACATATTGTTGCTGTAGGATTAATTTGACACTTCGATATTTTATGCTTCTGATGGGATTAAGCGGAATAATTATCGAGTTTTAAAAAACAAATGAAAATGATATTATGGTATAAATATACGTCGCGACAAAATAATGGGGCAACAATGATTTTTTACGTTTTTCAGAACCGTTACGTTACGTTTTTCCGCTTAGTAGAAAAACAAATAAAGGCGTTTATTCTATTCAAACACTATTAAATCTTTTATTACGTTGTGCAACGAGAAAAAGGAACGTTCATAAATTTTCTCTGTTGATAAAATATTGTCTCGTCAATGTTGTAATTTACATAGTCAAAAATGTTGGCTGTTAAAATTTACATATCACTGAAGATTTAATTTGAAGTTACTATTTGCGGTTTAAATTAAAAGGTGAAAAATAACGAAGTGGGAGGAAATTGTAAAACTGAGCATTCATTGGGAATGGTGCCTATATAGCTGACTTTATCTGAGATATGAAAATATTCTATATATGGTTAAGGAATTATTTTTTTGGTTTAGTGAAACAAATGGCTTTTTACATATTATTAAACTGTGGTTTGTCCTAGTACAAGTAAATGCAAGATTTGTTTCTTTTAACACGTTCGCTACCCGCGTTTATTCCGATGATGTTCCCCTCAATTGTAATATTTTATTCAATCGAATATATCTTCTACGCAAAACATAAAAAAAATGAAACTGAAACATGTTATTCATTTCCTTAATGCCGTAACTTATAACTTTAAATAACAATAACTACAGGAATAATATAATTTTTTTTGTGTAAAGCATAACATTGCTGCTGTCACAAATATGTGATGCTGGTAGTGAACATGTTAAGACGATAATTTTAGAAGTTACGAAGCTATTTATCGAAACGTGTGACTAACAGAAGAATAACTTAGGGTTACAGTAGAACCCTTATTTCTGTTTACAAATTTTATTATTTTCTTCAGTTTATTTCTTAAACTTTAAATCTAGTATATATTTCAAATCAGAGAAACAACAAATACGCTTAGATAAATGAACAGGAATATCATTGCGGAATGTTAAAAAAAGAAAATAAGAGGCATTGTTCAAAAACGACTTTGAAGAACTTACGATAAAAGTTGTGAATTAGTAATTTGCAGAAATTCAAACTCTGCCGGACAAATAAACAATAAAACATTGATATAAATAAAGTAAAATTCAAATCATAATAATTTTTAGTATTATCTTTGCCCATTTGATCCTAACATTTGATGTAATAGATGCGAAACTGAATCTTTCAAGACACTGAATCTTCTTTTACCATTAAAAGTCAGTTTATTGATACACTTTTAGCTAAGTTAAAATCTGTTTATAAAGTTTTAACACATAATGAATTATTAAAAAGATATTTACAATTAGGTACATGAAAGAATAATGAAAGTATAAACATGAATAATTACAATCTTCAATATTAAACACATTTATATAACAGGAAAAACATAATTCAAATATTTAGATATATCTGGTAATTTGCATTTTCAATAAAGATTCTAAACTCTTTTTACATATGTGAATCCAATGAGTATAAAAATAATATATAAAATACATTTGTTTTTTTATAATCGAACGATTAGATCAAACGAATGAATGCTCGTGTCTCTCACACTTCAACAAATTTGTGCTAGGTTAGTGTAAACAACGAAGCGCATGTCGCGACGAATGCAAATGTGAAAAAATTTGGGCTGAACATTTGCTGAACGTTCAGCAAATAATTTACCGAACATGGACGAATGCCCGTTTTGATTTGAATTTTGTTAAAGTGGTGGAGCGGGAAGCGAACGAGCACTCGTTCGTTTGGACTAAACGCGGTGTAAGAGGGACGAAGATAGGATCACCCATTCAATGCAACGGGTCACAGTGTGCAGATTCAGTAATTTAGTTTTACTAAATTGATAACGTCATAGTTCGCCAAAATTTGCATAGTGTACAAAATTTACATTTGGTTTTTGAAAAAATGAATGGAGAGTTGGGAAGGTAAATACTTATACTATGGAAAATTGTTTAATCTATTTTTATTTAAGATGTTACACTTTAAAGCAAAGAAGTGTGAAGACTAAATTTTGCAAGATACGTTTGTTCACTTGTTTACATTTAGCAAGTGAGTGAGAAGAAAAGTTAGAGAAAATGCAGCATATTTAGAATACCGGAGTATCTAAAAAATTACTGACTTTATTTAATTTTTATAATAGGTATAGCAAAGGCAAATGACCTATTAATCTCACATCATCTATATAAACAATAATTAATCATTTTCATTTCTATTGTAAATTTAAAAGCAAGTAGGAGAAGGTGAGGTATGACGTAATAACTAAGGAGAAGCGGATAAAAATCAAATCTGTTGTTAATGTCACATATATTAAAGTATTTACAGAATCTTTATAAATGTATTATTTCATTTTAAAATCAATTTGATGTCACAGAGAGCTCATATATTAAATTTATATATTCCCCTTTTTTTGTCTAATTGTATTTTACTTGGATTGAGAGGTAAGATGGGTGCAAAGTCAATTATATTTTAATATTTACATATTATATTTATTGAATATTTAGGATTATATTAGAGATATCTATAAGTAATGTCGTATGGACTGACATTTGTCGTTGGATCAATATTGCAAATTTCATATGAATCAAGTTGATGATCTACTAGTGCTAAAATGATCTCAAACACTATCCTTATACGCTGTTTAAGTTTACTGCCAGATTGAATATCATTTAAAAAGAATAAGTTCAGATAAATCGATGAAGGAGCATATGCGTCATTATATGCTTTATGAATTTCGTAAAGCAAGACGATGAGAGGTCAGGAAGTCCGTCTGTTCTTAAAGATGACGAGTTGACGGCTGTAGTTGAGAAAGATCCGAGTTTGGCAATTGGAAAGATTGCAAAAGCGCATGGTGTATTGTGTTCTATAGTTCAAAAACTTCTTTACAAAATTAAAAAGGTATGGCGATGCGGAAAATGGATCCCGCGTGTCCTTAGTGCAGACAATCGAGCAACGAAAGTTGTTATATGGAATTCGTTACTCGTTAGACATAAAGCAGAGCCCTTTTTGGATCACTTAGTTACGGGGGACGAAAAATGGTTTGTATATGATAGTTCAAAGCGGAAACCATAATGATCACCTTCAAGTAATACATCGATTGCAACTCCAAACTCGAATATTCATACGAATAAAGTGTTGTTGCGTGTATGGTTGATTTTGTTGGAAGTTATTCATTTTGAACCTTCAAAACCTAGAAATACTATTACTGTCAGCCTTTATTAAGAACTACTAATACGCTTAAGTAGTGCAACTACAAAAATACTTCCTGCTTTGGTTAACAGAAAGGCTGTCATACTGCAGCACGGCTGTGTAAGGCCGCACCCTGTGAAAATCACGCAGAAAAATGTCAGAGAACTTGATTGGGAAACTTTGGTACATCCACCATGCTCTCCTGTCTTAATGCCACCCGATTTTTATTTATTTAGATCCCCAGAGAATTTTTTAGATAATACAAAATTTTCCAATTATGAAGATGTCAAAAACGGAATACAAAAGTATTTTAATGAAAAATCAAGGGATTTTTATAAAAGGAGCCTACAATTATGGTGACTATCTTATTGACTAAGTATTTTATGTACAATTTAAAACATTTAAATAAACTTTGGTTTCAAGGAACGACATTACTTATGGGTACCTGTAATATTATAAAAAGTATACAAAATAGATATATTATACTAGGTATATATATACTATCATATAGAAACAAATAATCTTGTAATATATGAGACAAAATTCGTAGAAAATGTCACTTTATCGGAATGAAATGAACACAACATCATTTTACCCCAAAATGTATTTAACATTTTTTCCAAAGTTTTTTGTAAAATAATGTTAATTATCTGCCAACAAAAATGATTGAAATATGAAAGTGCGATTAGAAAAGTAAATTTACTTACTTTTTTGCTTTCTAAATATATACGCACAAACAAACTACTTTATGCTTTAAATATTCTGAAATTGTTGGTAGAAAATTTGGAAAAATCGTCGCAATTTGAGGCTCGTACAGTTTGTAGCACTGATATTCTCGAAATGGTCTTTATTCGTACTTGCTTCACTGGTGTGTTTACAAGAAAGTGTTAACGGTTTTTTGTTTGCAGCGATTTACCACCTTATTGTACTTCAACAATCCGTCTTGCTTCATGATTCCGTCCTTCTAATAAAGCATAAATTTTGACCTTTATTGTAAGCCTTAATAACACGAGAATTCTTAATACTTTTTAAAGTTACAATCGTACACTGTGTGTTGTCCTTATTTAAAAAAAATACCAGAACGAAAATTCTAAAGAATACCAAATTCTTAAGAAGGAAGAAGGACTGTTGTAGTATGTTGAACAAAAACTGCAGTTTAATTAAATAATTTTCAGAAGAGTGATTATTAGTATACCTCAAATACCAATCAATTGACTTTATTGTTGGAAAGATTATTCCATTCCTATTAATATTTTCTGTATATCTAACTAGAATAGTAATTAAAATGAGCTCTTAACTCCTTAATGTAAAAGAAATAAATAAAAAATAAAAATTAATTTCTTCAAAAGTTCGTACTTTCTATTGTATAAATTTACATGTTCGTTTAGATGTCTTCAGCCAAGTAATAACGACCGCATTATAAGAATAATTGACTTTTTATATTTGTTTAAATTTAAATGGAGTAGGATTATTACCAAACCTGGAATATCTATTTAAAAGATCAATCTATTCTAATTGAACGTAACTACCTTATAAAATCATTTTATCTGACATTCAGGAAAATATGTTATTGCATTAATACAGTTTATACCTTGATTTCTCTTTTAAAAAGAAGAAAGTAGAACCTATTTATCAATCACTCTTTCAAAAGGAAGTACTCCCTACATCCGTTAATAGGCTGATTTTTCCATACTTAAAATTCATGCAAGTCTAGTTGAAGCTAAATAATAAAGATTTCAGATGAATTACATTGTAATAAACATAAATAAGGTGTAATTGATATTGCTGCAGATACTACAGGACGTAATTAAAGTCAATACTTCTTCGATAAATGCAGAAAGAAACAAAGACTGAATCTGAGGAACTGGTGAATGTATTTAACGAGTTAGCACGTTACCGTCGATTAGCAAATTTGAGACGGTACATGTATAATGCATAGAAATCAGTGACGAGTTGTGTAGCCACGGGAAAGCTGTAGTTTTAGGACTCCTATGGTGGCGAATACAAAAAGTTCTGTGTCTGCAATTATTTATTGGTCAGTAATAAGGCAGTACTTGGTTGAGGAATAAAATGAGAAACATTAACCTTTTTTATAATTTGTAGGATTAAATTCTTTAAAATTGATCTGTATAATCTATCTTTTATTTACGTTATGAAGGTACGAGATAAGTCTGTTAGACTATGTAATATAAAGATGTTGACACTCACGTGCTAAAAGCTCATTCGAGGCTTTGTACTATAAAGTACACAATAATGGAACTTCTATAATAGCGACTGTGCACGATGTTCAAGTAAACAGTGACATGCAGAATATGCTAAGTATTCCGCAAATAATATTAAATTATAATATAATGTAGATTATAATAAAATTTCAAAGTCAAGTACAAACATTAATTTTCAAAAAATATTTCATCGTATTTTGTCATTATAAAGATCATAAAAATGTTTCTGTAAAGAGTTATTAAATAAATTCACTTATTCGCACGTTAATTCAGGAAATATTGCCCCAGGTTAATTAGATTAGATTTGGCGGACACGTTATTAGATACCCAGGACTTGTAACATTTTCCGCTTTATTACTATACACTTTACAAGTTAGTCTGTATTATAAAGCAAAAATTTGCATACATAACAATAAATAGCTTAGCTTTATTATCTTTTCCACAATGTTAGATTTTTCTATACAATAAGTATTCACATAAAAGCATGCAATTCTATTTATTCACATTAATATGTACGATTAACAAATTTTAATAACTTTCGGAGTTTCTTTTTATAATATTGTAACCTATTCCTATAAATAAATAAATAAATGAAAATACATGATAGTTTAGTAACTACCTATATATTCAAACAAAAAAATAGTGAGGTTATAATTTAAATTTGGTTAGAAACAGTGCGTAGTGGAAACTTAACGCATTCACAATTACTAAACGTTTTATGTATGGTCATGTCCATTTAAAATAGAATATTCATTATTATTATTATATAAATTCATTTAGAAATTATTTTTAAATTAGAAAAATGACTATCTTAAAAGAAGGATCTACTATTATTCTTAAAAATCATTTTCTCTTTTTATGTAAATTCAAATTTAGATAACCAACGTGTTGAAGAAGATCAAGGAAACAACAGATAATTGAAATTCCAGATCTTTTCTACTTCGCTCCGAAACGTGTGGCCGTAATTGTATTGTAGGATGCAAGAAGTGCTCCAAAGATGTGGCAGGTGTTATCAAATGTTACAAAGTTACGTAAGTATGTTTTGCTAGTAGTGAAATTCTCTTAAAATTATTTACAACGTTTAAGAATTTATTGTTCCTTTGTCGTAATTTCGTAATTGTAATAAAAATTATACGAGAAGTATAGAAGACTTCAGAATATTCATTATTTGTTTTACAATCGATGACATTCCTTTTTGTTGAATATCGTTTCTGTGGCTTGTTCTCAGAACTAGTTAAAATCAAATTTATCTATTTCAAAATATTTATTTCTCCTGATATGATTTATTAAATAATTAGCCTGTTATAACAATTCAATAAAGTTTATTTAAGAAAATACCTCACTTCGTCAACAATTTTGCTTATTAATATTATTCTTTATTATTTACTTAATATGTACATAATATTTGAAAGAAATCTGCATACTATTAGGAAAGGAAAAGGTTTTTATTTAAGGGGCTAATAGTAGAAAAGTTCTAGTCTTTGTTATCCATTCATCTACACTTTCGGTAGTATCTTCAATGTTACTGCTTGATTATGTAATTAAACAATTAACGTATTGGTCTATTATGTTTGACACAGATGTGAGTTACATTTGGTTGATGCATATAATTAGAGAACATCAATTCACAAAATTTACCACGGTTCTGTTTTTTGCAATCGAATTAGATATTTATATTACATGGCAAAACAACATAAGTCACATTTTCGGAAAGTTTTAGTTTATATGTAATTCTGGATCTGTGAAGTAAAATCTACATTTACAGATACAAATATGCATTACAGCACATTTTCGTCCCAAAAATGAAATGCAACAGTTCCGAAATCTAGTCGCTTATCGGCACATAAAAGTTTTCATTACGGTGTTTTGAAATTAAGAACATGTGATACGTGTTATTTTGAAATTGCAGATGTAATAATTAAGTATGCCACAGTCATGTTTATTTTACTGTATTTATGCTAAATTAGTAAAAATTGTATCACTTCTAAAATATACAAATATTGATTTTTAATTATTCTGAATATAAGTAGTATGTTATAGAATAATCTCGTACGTCCGATGATCTCCACGACATGTCGCAACACTTCAATTTTGATTACTAATTACTTGAACGTTTACTTTACTAACAAATCATCAACAAAAGAAAACGAGATAGAAGAATTGTAACTATCATTCCACTATTTTTTGGATAAATGATCAGTGCTTCTTTCATTCCTCAGCATGTAAAGAATGAAACTAAAATATTTCCTTATTTTTGACATTTTTCTTTGACGAATATAAGTATGTACATGTATGGAAAAGAATGCAAAATCCACTTATACGTTTTGCATGCTTGTAGAAAGGATTGGAGTATCGTGAATGCCACTACGTTCAATAATACAATTGTAAAATTAACTTATGACTGAATATTATAGCAAACTATAATTGCAATTTATTCGAACTGTTAGAAAAAATTCTAAAATGCAGTATATTTCAGAAATATGTTGCCTTATCCAGGACACAGATCTGCATCCCAATGACTCTTCAATTCGAATATTTGACTGTCAAAACTGCTTTAATTCGACATCCAATAACGTTTTCCTTAGTTACAATATATATTCCATCAAAAATGTATTTTTCAGTAAGGAATTTCCGAGTCAGACAAACTGTCCTTTCGCATATTTTCAGCGGTCTTGTAATGGTGCCTTTCGCAGAAGTCCTGGATCCTTTGGCAAGCCTCCTCTAGCATGTCCACAGGCACCGTGATGACCAGCCTCATGTAGGAGGGATAATCGAAGCACTGTTAGAAAAGGGCCAAACACCATGTAATCAACGGACAATACCGAACGAGTGGATACTGAATTTAAACGGCGTACCTGGCCAGGAAGGCAAAACACGGACTCCTCTATTAGCAATCGCTGCACGAATTCAAGATCCGAATTAAATCCCGGAAAAGAGGCTAGATCTATGTAAACCTGGAAACCGATAGGATAATTTATCGCCAGTAAATTGCAACCGACCGGCTTTAATGGCGCCGTGTTCACGGGAACGCGTAAATCGCGTTCAATGCTCGACTAATTATATGGAATTTGCTGTTAAAAAAATCACTTCCGATTAACTTATCCATACTGAATTCGAAGGAGTTCAGAAATTTGTTGGAACGTGCACAGTTTATGCATTTATATTAATTCCGACGAAAAGTTTAATCGAATAGGCTGGCGCGATTATTGCAACAATGAGGGAGAAGGAAATAACCTGTTTATCGTATGTGATCTTTCTTAGAAACATTATTGCGTTGGATCTATCTTGGAATAAATGATTTGATATATGTGTATGTAAAAGTGTATACGTCGTGTATACTTACCATCATATACATTGCGCCCGTTGGCATTATTGGTTTCAATCCAGGAATTTTTAGTACGCTATTGTACGCCAGTTTTGAGTGATTCTGGGGAAAATAAACATAAGTGGGATGCAATTAAATGAAAATGTAACTGTGTTTTAAAGGGCAACGACAGAAATCGATCAATTTTGGACCTGGCAACGAAAGCTTTTTGCAAGGAATAATTCTACATGCTCGGGTTACATTTATTCGAGAGATGATGGGAGAGTTATAAAAAATAAGAATAAGCTTTGGAATGTTGTCTTGGAAAAACTGATCTTATTAATCGTTCTTTATCATCTGCGTTTGAAAATTTATGATTAAAATAGTGATTTAAGGGACTAGTTGGAAAATTTATCGTAAATTTATTCAAACATATTCAAAAAATTAAAAAATCGTTGTTATATGAAGGCGCTAGTCGATTAAATTTAAGTATTTTCTAAACTAATGACTTTTCTATAAGAGTGAATTAATATTTTTCTGTAGGAAACAATGAAATAAATCGACTAGTGCATTCGAAACTATAAAGTTCTATTAAAAAAAAATAATATTGTAAAAACACTTCTTTGATAATTCTAAGATCTAATTAAAAGGAACACGCTATATAAATGAAATATCTTCTAATAATGTAATATTTTTTAGTACCCTATTGAAATATGTAATTTTAAATAGCGTTGTTTAAATATCATTGTTATTCATTTTGTTGGAAATATTTCATTCAAATAATGTCTGGTATAGTACAATAATTATTGCAAAGATAATGAACACATCATTGATTCTTGCTTCTGCATTTCAAGACCTTTACATTGTTTGCATTATTATTTCACTGATATGTCATCATCAAAAGCAAATAACAACGACGAACGAGGATTACTAAGAAGAACATTCCAAAATTTACGTCTGTTTCTTATAACTTCAGCTTCTGGGTAAATAATTATTCATTTCGGATTCCTTAAAATATGTAGAATTATACTTTGCAAAAAACATTCGTCGTCTACCAGGTCTAAAATTGATCATTTTCTACCATTGTTTTTTATATAATGAAACGCATAAAGAAGTTTATACATCTTTACATTGGAAATACATTTTTCAATGATTCAATATTTTTATCAGTGAACATAATTTATAGTTTTTTTATACAAAGTTCTTAATGTTTTGGAAAATTGGAGGATAATTTAAGTAGTTTAAGTAGTTTACTAAAAAAGCATTATTTAATTCAGTGAAGTACATCACCCATACACATATGAGTGGGTGGATATTTTTATGAGTAATTGTATATTCCATTTAATGTATTAGTATATTGCGTATTATCTTGAATCATTGAATTTATTAGAAAGCTGTAAAAGTTAATATCGACTATTAATTGTAAATAGAAACATTAAATACTGACATGTAAGGTACGCATGATATCGTCGTAAAATTTCTGTGGCGTGTTTCTCAAAATCGCTGGCAGAGCACCCTGAATAAGTGTGTTACTACCGATAATCCTCTGGCTCAGGCAGTGAAGAGCTTTTCGTATCTACAATGAAAATGAGGCACATAACTTTTTGCTATACATATTTAATAAATCTTATTTCTTATTAAAATAGAAAATATAAATTAAATAATCTCTAAAGCAATGAAAAATATTACCAGTGAAATAAATACTAATGAAATGCTTTTAAATTAACGGAATCTACGAAATATATTATGACTTCTAAGTTTTATACTACTTACATTATTATATTAAATTACTCCGTATTATATTATTCCGATGGAATTACCTGTTATTATTATATCAAACTCTATAAATGAAATTATAATGAAAACGATTTGTGACATAAAGGATAATAACATTTGAATATTTTATTAATACTGTTCCGTTCGCAGTCATATTATTAAAATCCATTTCTCTGTAATACTAATTAATGATAGCAATATGAATTAATATTACAAAATTATATGAGTAGACCGAAGCGATTAGGATCAAGGGGGGAAACAAATAAAAATAAGGATATTGGCCATATTTGTTACGTTGTTATAGAAATCAACATGCTGATCGTCCATATTCCTTCATACACTTTCCCCACACTTAGTCCAATATATTTTTAATTGTTTCAAACTGTTATTTGCTGTCAGCACATGTTAGAATCGAAGCAAACGCGATGAATTTGTGGCCAGTCTAAAATATGCAGTTGAAATTTCACATTTAAAATAGCAAGATAAGCTTGGAAATTTAAATGTCTTGATTACTATTAGTCTCTAAAGTATATAAATGCAGTATTTAACGTACTTTAGATTATTATATTGTGTTTTGTTCATTTATCGCATTCATTTTTAAATCCTTAAAAGTTGCGCTATTCGGATCACATTGAACGAAACGAATCGGATTTCTGCTTTCCCTCATTTTTTTGTCTATGGTTATAAATATCATAATTATTTATACATAGACATACAAAAAAAGACAAAATAGGGATCATGGAGCCCAAAAACAATAAAAAACACAATAATAACAGTTAACTCCAAGGAAGTGTTGTAACTTGTACAACCCTACAAAGACGACTGGCTTGTCGAATAATTAAAGAAACTAATTTTACATTTGACATCACCTGTCAATAAAATGATACTTCTTGAAAAATAACAAAACAAATTGAAGACTAGGCCAAAGAAGGTCACTATTAAAAGAAGCATGAAGACTAAGAAGGATGGATGAATTAATAACATAAATATAGGACCTTTCAAAGAATAATATTGCATTTATTGCAATGAACAATTTATCCACCTACCTTCATAAGATTAGGTTCAATGTAATCTTTGCGACGAGTCATGTTACGAAAACTGTGCTAATAAGTGTAGTGTTAAAAGGTAGTATATTTGTGACAAGTGTGTGAATAATTGATTTTATTATAATTAAATTGTACAATTTTGGATCAAACAAAAAATTTTGACAAAAAATTGATTTTCTTTTTAGATTTCTATATGATCAACGATAAAAGTAAAATGAACATTTTTTTATTAAATTTTGTTATTAATACCCATTTAACTTCAATATCCGCTTCACCTCGGGATTTTGGACGAATCGGAAGTTTCTCACTTTTCAGTTTTTGCTTATAAAATGAAGGTTTCTAAGTTTTCTTAATAATCTTTTTTACTTATATTGAAACTGAATACTTATTAATAAGAAATCTATGGAAAAAATGTTGATTCTAAGTTTTAACTATTAGTTTTTCGCTATTAAATCTGAACTGATCCGATTCGCCTCAATCTACCCTAGGGGAACGTGAGACAAGACGAGACAATAGTTTATTTCGTATTATTATGCATTCATGTTACTAAAAATTTTTAAAAACTCATTAATTATATAATAGAAGATACGTTGTCACTGATTAGAGTTAGTTTATTTCGTTGTTAAGCGTTTGCCAGTCATAATTCTGATTCTTATGTTTGTGAACCCATGTATGTATTTTATATCACGATGTACGATTGAAGATATCGTGAACGATGCCAGGAGGTGAACTTTAATGGTGGGATAAAATTTAATCAACGAAATTTAATCCAATCGTGGAGAATCACGAGGTACGTGGGACTCGTTACAGAAACAGTATAAGCGAAGAAGCAATTATTTTCAAGCTGTTGCCTTGACATGTACTTGTATATAGTTCTCATCGTTCCGTTATTACTCACCTCTTTGTCTAGAACGTTTTCACGATCGTGGATGATTATCCAGCCCATACGCCAACCTGGTACTAAAAATCTGCAACAACATCGGGATTGATCGTTTACAATTCAACGAAACAAAAACACTATTGTAAGTCGATCGTTTGGTCCGCAGTACCTTGATTGAACCGCAACTCACCGGATAATTCAGAAGAAAATGGAGATCTAGTTATCAATTCGTTTAAGGAGATTTCTGAATAAAACTAATTGAAATATTTTAATTCTGCATTTTAAAGATATTTTGCCAAATATGCGGCACTTACGAACGAAAATAAGAGTTTGTTGAGATTCAATGCAAATCGAATGAAGGCGGAATAATATATTTATTGAATTCTGTCATTTATTCATAGACACAGTGTTTTCTGCATGTATGATGCATGATGAAAGACAGTAAAACAGAAAGGTTTATCTTTGGCAACACTTCTAATTTATTTTTGTTCCAAGTAAATGTTTTGTAGAGAATATAAATTTCTATTTGCCTTTTAGTAGAAAGTTTTTACATATATCAATTAATCCTTAACAACGCGAACATAAGTTAAATAGTTGTAAAATTTTGTTAGTAATAGTAAGTTGTAAAATTTTGGTCAACCGTAAAATACTATAGGAAGTAAAATGAGCGTTGAAGTGTGTTCCAAAATTAAATAAAAATATGGGTTCAAAAATCTGTTGACGGTAAGTCACATTTGTGGAATCTATAATACTTTATTAGGATAACTTCATAACAGCACACAGTTCCATGCGTTTTGCATATCTATTCTAGGATTGTATGTAAATAGGATATATATTCATAAATGTATTCTTCTTTAAATTTATCTACATGCTTTTATTATCATTTTAATTATTTAAATTATAAGGAAACTACATAATTATTTCAATTTTCTCAGTTTTGAATTTTATATAATCCAATTAAAATTATTTTGTTATTATTTTTACTAAGTTACTAAGTTACTAACTAAAAATCGAAATAAAAGTGATCTACTACTACCAATCATACAGGTTCCGTTCAAGTTAGGCCAGATATCTTTTTAAATTGTGATGATGCATAAAATATTAACAGTCTAATGTAAATGGTATTGAAAGACCAATAACATGAAGGAATATTTTCATTTAAGGTAATTTATTTCTCAGTATTCAAGATTATTGATGTTTTTTTTTATTATTATTAAATCATATTGCTGGTAAAAAAATATGTTTAGACATGTAAAGAACATGGCCTTAAAATGACATGCATGTTCCAATTTAGGTTTTAATTAAGTTTTACGTAAACATTTATTTCTGTCAAGATTGCAAACCTTGGCTAAGACGCGATGATCGATTGTTATCAAATCGTCAATGATACTTTCTAGTAATTTGAAATCCTAATAAATATATCGCAATTTGCTAAATATGACTAGCATTTGAGAGAAATAGTTCGACTGTACAAAGGTACATTTTCTAATCGTAATTGTCCATCGCAAATTACATACGCAAACATGACAAAAAATTATCATCAAACTGGCAATGTGTTAAAAAACTGCGTGAGTTATTGTATCTAAAGTCAAGGGAAAATCCACATATAAGTCAGAGACAGCTAGAGTATCAGACTGACATTTCTAAAACTATGTAGCATCATGCGGATACTAAAAGAAGAAATATTTCAGCCACATCATTTATCTCGACATCAAAATCTTCACTGAACAGATTCTGTAAATCGTATGCATTGTTTTTCAGTGAGATTTACAAAAGTACGAAAGTGATAAAGCATTCTTTAAAAGAGAGTTATTTACTGGCAAAGCGTCTTTTATCAATCCTGGTTAGTTGAATTTGAGAAACATGCATTACTGGTCAATCGAACATCCACACTGCTTCAGGTTAGTGGGTAAACAAAGACACTGGAGAGAAAATGTACAGTGCAGCATTTTAAATAATCAAATAATTGGTTCATGTTTCATAAATGGCACTCTCATTGTTTCGAATTACCTCGTATAATGAACCGGGAAGTCCGATGCTCTTTCAACAAATTAATTTCGAGGGAGCACGTTTGAATGATTGAAAATAAAGTTTACGAATATGCGATTTATTTGCCGCTTAACTGTCGAACCAGATTGACTCTGTCGACGATTAGAAACGGACTGCTGGTGACGTTTTTCCCCAATTCGAAAAACTTGTAACCCCGATTCGGGGGTTACAAATGTGGTGGGGATTTCTCTCGCTGGTGGTGTTCGACAGATGTAGAAACGACCTGGCAGATTTCTTTAAGACGTATATAGGATTTTTACCGTTTCTACATTTATCACTTTTATGGCGGTGAAAGGTGCCCTCTTTCCGACTTCTCGACTTGGGCATAGGTCTGGACGCAAAAATACTCATAAACGTAGAAAAACATGCAATATTCTTACAAAGTGAGCTATTATACAAATACTTATGCATGATGTTAAATATTCATTTTACTTAGAATGTGATATCAGTACGAGAAGTGTCCAAGGCATTCTACATGTCTTGCCAAACAAATTTTAGATTAGAAATTTCCAAACCGATGAATTGATCGTAATGGAGTTATTGCATGGCTACGCGTTCGCCGGACCTCAGTCTACCGGATTTTTTTTAAGCGGCAAGTGAGAGCGAAATAGTTTACGAAAATGAATACCTAACTATTTCAAAGGAAGTGAGAAATCGAATAGACTTGTACTGTTATTAATTCTAAAATAATGGAAAGTTATTGCAATTGCGTATGTTCCGTCGCGGAACAAGGGGCCCTTCAGGATACCGAGGACCGCGGCACGTCGATACACGGTTCTGGTTTATGACACGGGCGCAAACACGATCGAGCGTTCGGGACAGTTGATCCGGGGCCCGGCTTCGGCCATTGTGCAAGTCAGCCTCGCATTTTCTGTCCCGTACAAAAATCGCCCCTGTCATAAACCAGACGAATTCTCGCGCAGCGACGAGGATTACCCGCGGCCATGGGTACGTGCCCGTACTTAGGTAGGCATGTACACATGGGCCCACGTAACGGGTTTTCCTTCGTTGTCTCACCAAATGTACGCGCAACAGCGAGGACTACCTGCGGACAAGGGTGCGTACTCGCATCGGGGTACACCCTTGCACGTTCGTCAAGGTAGCGGTATTTTCTCGCTGTTGCCAAATGTATTTTTTACTCGAAACTTCGTCGATCTCTTGTTCCCACTCCGTCAGCATCCCCTTCCGTACATCCGAAGGAGGGGTAAGAAAGTTGACTTGTGGGTGCAAGAGTTCCGACGAAGGATAGTAATACACGCACATTCGACAAGAACTGTTCACTTCATAGTTCTACACACGCATTCGAACAGTTCTCTACACGCATTCGAGAGTACACGACACGCAACGAACACTCGTAACGAACACTCGCTAACATCTTCAAGAACGTCTGACATTCGAACATCGTCTTGCTCCATCGGTCGAGCCATTCGCAAGATATTCGCACCACTGCTTCACCACCGGATCCAGGTGCCCAAAATTAATTTGGCGGGCACTCAAACGAATAAAGCGAAACGCGTCAACGGACGAATACACGTTTAGCTTCACGAAATTATACAGCGTACTATTAATTTCAGACAATGTATCGTCGTAGAAGGACAATAGCTTGAACATCTGCGGTGATGATAGTGATTTTAAAAACGATGGAATTGCCTCAAATATTTTAGTACCATAAGAATTATTTCTTCATATTCACAGATTTATCAGCCATATTAGCTAAGGTCTGCAATCCCCAGACAAATAAAGGGTATAGCCGAATAAGGAGAGGTAAAAATGCCCCCAAGCAAAATTGATTTTCGCACATACCATTCGATAGATCTCTCGAAGAAAGCCCTTTGTACCAAGTTTTCAGTCCCTACCCCTACCATTAGGGTAGTTACAGGGTCGAATGTCATACACAGTTTATGCTTGATGTTTTATGTTCTGTTCGATAACAAAATTGTGAAAGAAATCATAGATATTCTAAATGTAGATGTACATTTCTGGAAATTTTTTCAGAATTTTAGAGTGTAAAACAGATTTTTTAAAAATTCGAGAACATTAAACGCTGGTTTTTTATTTAAATTGTTACAGTACCAATTTTATATTTTCATGAAATGAACTACTTATTATTCGGAAATATTTCTTTGTACCATCTCTATTTTTCGAGGAAATTAGGTGTTTTCAGTTTGCAGAAACACACTGTGTGTATAATGTAGCTGAAATATTGGTAAATACATATAAAATATCAATAAAAAGTAGCATCCAGACAAAAAAATATCTTACAGTAAGTCTAAAGATTGCCACTAAAAATGTAATAAATAATCGGGTTTGTGAAATGAACCGTGCAAAACTATTGTAGGTATATTATGGTGCGTACGATTAAAATATTTTATGTAACGTAATAAACTATACATACCGTTTTGTTAAGCCGCTGCATGACAATATAGGAACTTCGCTTGATAAGGACGCTAACGAGTGAAAACTCTGTCCCGGGAAAACCTAGCAGGAATTAAAAAAGCTACACATTTAACTGACTGTGTAATTTTCATACGCCTAGTCGTTTAAAATTAGAAATATGTAAAACTAAAATTATCAAGCAAAATGATCTATATAATTCGTCTACTATCAAAGAAAATTCAAAATACTTGCAGTCTTGAGCACAAAATATTAAGTACGTGTTTTTAAAAACAATCATAGAACATCTATACAACTGTTATATAATTTGTCAGAATGTTAATTTAAAATTGGTCACATACAACCGACATAATGTCTGCACGTGAATAACTAAAATGGTGTGAAAATCAAAAATATTTAATAGGAAATAATCAAAAGCTTTCCTTAAAACTGATATTGTCTAGGTCGGCTGCGATATAACCACACATATGCATTCTTGACAACATCTGTGGATCCATGAATCACTTACAAACCGTCGAAGCGATAAGACGTATAATATGCTACAAGTATAAACAGGGGAACATACAAGTGTGTGAAATCGAAATTACTGTGTACAGAAATATATATAATATACGTATTATATACATACACTCAAAATACAACACTACAGCGACGGTGATTAGTCATCAAAAACGCAATAAATGAGTGGAGAGTTAAAATATACTCTAATATATTATATTTACTTACGTTACTACCAGCAGTAATATTATCGTTATAACAATAGTCACATCTTCTCACCACTACGAACAGTCGACGCGTCAATATATAACTATCATGACAACACGGCTCACACATACAAACCAAACAAATACAGACATCTACAATACCAGTGACACCAATAACATAACAGGAAGACGGATAATTTCAGTAGACTCTACACTAATACAAGATTCATCGACACATCAATACACAGACGTAGATAATATAGACCTACATACCTCACGGCAGCGGCCAAAACTCCGCAAGGCTAAAAGAAATAGAAGCAATGCACTAAATAATAAGGTAAATACAAAAAGGCAAACGACTGATTCTATCCACCCCACACAAAACTCTAATAGATTTTCTATCTTACGCCAAAACGGTTGGAAAACCAAGGAATCGCTAACATTATTTTTCGTAAATTCGGAAACCAACGAAAACAACGAAGAAATTTATAATTTGAAACATTTCCTTAATACTGTAATAGAAGTAGAACCATCAGGTAAAAAAGAAAAAATATTTCCGTACTTTAGCTACCAAAAACATGGTCATGTCAAAAGATGTCGTACAAAACCATATTATTGTGTGAAATGTCTAGAAAATCATCTCTTCAATACTTGCAGTAAAACACAGGACACTCCGGCGGAATGCACGTTATGCGATGGACCACATTGTTACAAAATTACAAAGGATGCACTGTATATAGGGACCTATAGAAAACAAGAGGTAAATCATATAACATAAGAACACTTCAAAGTTAAAAAAGGGTTAGATTATGATTTAATAACCACAAAAATCCTAAAGGAACTACCAAGAAAAGTAATAGTAGCAATAACGCAGATACCCAATGCTATTACCAGAATACAATATTTTCTGATACAGTTGAAATTTGCTGAAATAATATCTATACAACAGCTAGATAAAACTTTAGCTGAATTAACATCATATTGGCCGATTTCTTCATTACCAACTCTTTTAAAACTATTTGAGAAGCTACTTTTAAAACGACTCAAGTCTATAATAAACGACATGAACCTGATAGTTCGACACAAATTCAGATTTTGAGAGTGACATTCAACTGTTGAATAAATATAAAGTATAGTCCACGAAATTGAGAAAAGTTTCGGAGAATACAAAATATATTCCACTGCTTTTATAGATATAAGTCAACCTCTTTTGACAGAGTGTGGTACACCGGTTTATTGTATAAAATCAGATAGAAGATCCCACAGAAATATTAAAAGTTACTTAAATCATACTTAAGCGAAAGATATTTTCATATAGAATAAAATAGTAACTATTCTGAAAAGTACCTCATTTTAGCTCGTGTTCCCCAAGGAAATATATTGGGTCGAACATTATACTTAATTTTTTCAGCGAACCTTCTACACGGTGAAACTGTAACAACAGCCATACACGTAGACGATACTGCAATTCTAGCATTGCATGAAGACCCGCAAAAACATCAGACCTCTTTCAGGAATCCTTGCACAAAGTAACAGAATGGGCAGAAGAGTTGAAAATAAAAATAAATGTAGTAATGTCGACCAATTTTACATTTACTACTATATAAACAACGAGTTCAAATATGAAATTCAAAGATGAAAACGTCGTTACAAAAGATAGTGTTATATATCTCGGCATGTACTTGGATAAAAAAATAACATGGAAAAATCACTTTTAAGCAAAAAGTAAGCAGCTATATAGAAATGAAGAAATTATACTGATTACTGAGCTTTATACCTCCACTATTACTACACAACAAAATATTATTGTACAAATTATACTGAATACTGAGATATATATCTCCGCTACCACTACACAACAAACTATTATTGTAGTAAAAATAAAATATGTGAAAGAATAAATATAAGAACTCGCAATAACATACAACAGTATAATAGAAAACAACATAAACCTAGTATTACAGAAGACTGGAAAGAACAAAGCCATCTGATATTTCGAAATCATAAAAAATTAAATGTAGTGAAGACAGTATTGAGTGTTGTATAATCAGTATGTATAATGTATAATCAGTTGTAAATATAATTTAGAAATAAAAAAGATCTATAAATACTAGTCAGGAGACATTGCAAATTTAACGTTTCTAACGTTGCTACTACATTCATCGATTATGAAGTATTACAAAATTTGAAATCCTCCGAAAGCAGAAATCTAAACATGAAGACCTCTTAACTCAGAAAATCATGCAGGACACTTTCGTGTTTAGAGTCTCTAGTTCAGGGAGCTTTTCGTTTTTAATTGCTGGTTTTGGAAATTAAGCATGAATTTCTGAGTCCGAAGATCCTCTAGTTCCGTGTTTTAATCCTTTACGGTCGACGCCTAATTTTACGGTTTCTGTCAATTCTTTCAAATTGTTATTTCTCCGAAAGTAATAAAATAAATTAAGACATTAGTAACAATATCAGTTTCAGTACTTTATACCGATTCCGTTTCTGATAGATTAAAACTGGACTAAAATTTCTTATTTCCAAGTTAATTTCGTTTGAATCTGTTGTTTTTTATGTAGTCTAATCGAAGTCTCTTAATCTTTGATTACTTTTGATCGACGTTTTCTTATTATACGTTGGTTCCCATTATAAAGTGTTCCCAACCATATTAATTTTTATAAAATTTATAAAATTCAAATATGAAAGACTTGTAAACAAGACGATGCAGAGAATAATGAAATTACTTATTTTGAATAAAACTCTCCACGTCGTTTTATGCATTAGTTTTGCAGAAAAAAAATAAATGATTTAGCATATATTGTAACAAGAAAGTGTTAAGCGCGTACCATGTGTTCGTAAATTTCATCAGCTATAATAGGGACGTAGTATCGAGCTGCCACGTCCAGAATGTCAAGTATATGGTCCCTGCTGAACACAGATCCGCATGGATTGGAAGGATTATTTATAATGATGGCCGCTGTCGATTCATCAATCTGCGATTCCAAGTCGTCCAAGTCAATTTCCCAGTTCAGTTCAGGCTATAAGTTAATGTTTATTCATTAATATTAATATTTATATTAATTTACATATATTATCATTTAGTTATCCTCTTTGTCACAATTCAATTTCCAAATAAACAATTTAGTTTCGCCATATCATGTAAATGTCACTATATTTCTATTCTTTAACTGTTTGAGTGCCGCAGGTCTTTGCAAAAACCCGGTCAAAAAGTGCCAAGCGGCGTGATCGCGCTTATTTCGTTTCAGTTCAGAAACTGAATTACGCTTTTCTATTTTTATATGAGAAAATTGTAAGTAGCGCGATCATTCCGTTCTTCCATTTCTAAGTAAGTAATAACAAAAATAAAAATAAATAATTAAAAGGAAGACAAATAAATAAAGTTAATTTGATTCTAGGAACCGATAGAGTGGAACTTTTAAACAGTGTAACGGAGAAACGCATGTTTAAATTTATTTAACCTTTAGGTAGTATACTTTTTTAACACGTTAAACGTCACAAAAATCTTGAAAAAGTTATTCTTTTGTAGCAAAGGAAAGCAGGAACAATTATTAATTATTTAGTGTTACTATTCTTGCATTATACTATTATCAGCTTAGTTCTGTCATTAAACATTCATATTCGACATCGGTTATCTTACATGTTACGATTGCTTTGCAGTAATTCAAAAGTGTCCGTCATCGGTAATTGACATGGCGCTTAACATCTTAACTATAATGGATCCCGAGACATCTTACACGAGTCTGGTCATCCTAGTACTTTCCTAAATAACATTAAACTACTTTGTTATATGTTTATTCTCGTAAAAAATCTTTCATAGTAGATTGCGTGTTGCCGCGGAATATCCAGGCTTCCGTACCTGGAACGTCCACGTTTCTATTCACAAATTTCATCCTATCGATACACCTGCATGTTCTTTTCATTTTCTTAATACTTTAACATCCGGCCACGCATTATCGCTGATTGGGTATTGCAAGGATAAATTCACAAGTTATATTCTTTGCGAATAATCCTGACACTACACTGGTCAGACGACAATATTTGAAACAAATAGTTATAAATTTAGTAAAACCACAAATCGTTACTTACTAATTATTCTTATTCATTATAGAAAGGTAATTACTGAGGTAATTACAAATATAAATATTGTTGACGACAAAGGTTCTGTGACGGTACTTCCTATATTCGTTATTAAAGGGATTTTAAAATAATAGCTTTTCCGCGTTTGTACCTAACCTGTTCTTTATTCTCCTTGTGCAAAATGTTCGAAACAAATTTTGTAATATGCAGGTTTTTTCAAACATGTTGCGGTGTACTAAGGTAAAGGCACTAGTAATTGACCTAGTATCAGTAATTGACCATTTTTCAGAAAAACTTAAGAAATAAGGTTTTTAAAAGTACTAATCTTTTGATAAAGGCGCGATAGATATACTGCAGCATCTACCGACTCAACTCCGAAACACTTTTACCTGAATTAAATTTTTATCCTAGAAACTAACAATTTATTTTGTTGACGTTGGTTGTATGTCTCCAATTTCCAACATGGAATTAACTTCTTTTCATTTATATTTGTCCCTTTACTTGTAATTTTTCATAATCGTTGTGAATAAACTATATTAAAGTAATAACATTTAGTGTTTTTGGTTTTACTATAAGTGGTCAACTGCTAACTAGCAACCCAAAATATTTAATCGACCGAGCTGAATTGATTCTTGGAGGTGGCGTATTTTTTATTTATCCTCCACATGCGAATAATTTGTTGACGTGTGAAGTTGATTTCCTTCAAAATTCAATTTCTCAGAAGCTATAGGTAGCAGGAAAAAGCTGCAGTCATACACACATACAACGCACAAGAACCTACAACAATCGTTCATTGAATCTGGGACAACATAAAAAAAGTTTAAATTTGTTGGACAGTCTAATCAGTGTCAACCTGTGAATTACAACTCACTCTCTTGTTGGCAAGGAAAGCTACGACACTGTGGTTTTAATTACTGTTCTGAAGTAAAATAGTCCGCGGTGTCTCAAGGAAAGGACGACATTAATACTCCGGGCGGGAAGCAAAGAAGAAGAGAAAACGAAATGAGACCTCATTCTTATTTCGGTTTAACAATTTGCTGGGTTTAAGTCGAAACATTCGCTTCGCGCAAAGAATTGCAAAGCTGCAGGATAAATATTGGCAGAGGTTGTTATACTTCTGGTAAGGCGCGGAAAATACACTTGCAATCCTTTTCAACAGTGGAGGATCAACTTTCTAAGTAAGTTCGTCGTCTTTCGTAGGACTGTTTCTTTGCAGTTTGGTCGGCAGCATATTTTATGCAATACTGCACACTCTCTCAGATTTTAAATCGGCGAGAAAACGAGAGATATCTTTTCACTGTAAGAATCGCGGTGGCATTTGATTTTTGTTATCATAGGAATTGTTACGTCGACGCGTGTTCGATTCGCGAAGCGCTCTCGTTTTATGGTATCGACCAAGCTAATATTGGGTGCCCGGATCACACGGGTAAAGCTAGTGGCGTGGTATTTCGTGTTTACAAGATTGCCGAGAAATAAACTTTGCGCAACTACCGAAACGAGAATAAATGCTCGACTGTTAAAGCTGATAGTTAAATTGTCGAAATGTTGTCGATCCTTGTCTGGTAAACGACGGACTCTGTGCTCGGCCGATGGAGCTTTGCGTACGGGAAGTGTTCCCTGATCGATAATTTCGAGACGACTGACGACTGATTTTAACCTAAAGGAAGAAAAATAATTTCTAAAAATGGTCAAGTCTGCTCTTGACACCGCGAGTTTATAGTGTCTTCCAACGGTAGCATTTATAACGATCGGTATTTTTGTTATGCACGAGTAAGCGGGGATAAAAGTAACGGGCCCTCTCCTGCTTTCTACAATCGCTTCTAAGACATGTGTTTTACACGATTATACATCTAGATGTACCCATGTGCATATGTAATGCTTAGTTTATTTTAATGCTTGACTTTGACTGATTGCGCAAAATATATACTGTAATTAAGCAGAATCTTACGTTTCATATAGGATTCCCTGTTCTGGTTTTTTTATTAATATTGTACGTTAGTTCCTCTATTTACGAGGAGTATCCGTTTCACGTGAATTCATTTGATGTGAATAGAAATTGCGTAAATAGTCTTTCTGTACAAAAGAAAACAAAACATTCGAAAGAAAAGCTGGTATAAATTTTAAAAACACATATTTATTTCAAAACATTTAATAATAATGACATTTTAAAAAACAAATATAAATTTTACTGGGTGTGGCTAAATTAAGATCTCGTAAATCTATATCGCGTATAAACAATACCACGTAAATACTGTTATAATAAACTGTTATAATAAAAAAAGAGACTCATGTAAAAAAAGTGCAGCGTAAATGGAGGGACGAATTTATTCACACAAACTATAAATATTCAGCCAATTTTTTGCTGCAGCATTCTTACGTCTTACTCCTATTTTCAGTGAGTCTTATATAGGTTATCAATTATAATCTATTTTAAAAAACATGACTGAGGTCATACACTATATTGCATCACGGCTGATTTTTCCTATATACAGGGTGTTCCTAAATTATTGCACACAAAATGATAGGACGTGTGCAATTCACTAAAGCGAGTAAAAAGAACCCAGTAAATATGAGTTGAAAGCTGAAAGGTATTCGAGATAAAAATCGATTTTGTTTGAAAAACATGTATGAGAACCGAATAAAAAAAGCCGAATTATTTCGAAAAGTATCTGTGATACGAGCAAATGTGTCAAACAAAAGTTACAGGGTATGAAATACTGCATTTCATGGCGGGAGGTATTTGACTATGACGTGATTTTGAAACGTCCTGCAGAGGTCACGACATAAGTAGAATCTTTCTATTCCATATTTTTGAAACCCATATTCAGACGTTTCAAAACCATAGGAATGAAATTTTACGCTGGTAGTGATAGTATCAGACGAACAGTGCGACTGTTAAGGGATAGTAAAGGAACGCAATATTCAGGGTCCCTGTTTCCTACACAAAAAGTTTCCGGTCTGAAAATGTGAACGACATCGTTTATCGATCGAGCCGTGGATGTATAGCTGAGGACGCAGTCATCGCACTAGCTACCTTCCTTTACTTTCCCATGCGTTCTTACTAGAGTTTATAGACGTTTCACCCGCTCCACACATCTCAAAGTTGAATCACTACTTTGAATCTGTCGAACCAGAGGCGACACGGTTGCTCAACCGATCATCCTCTTGCCCCTCTGTGTACAAGTGACGCGATGGACTGTTCATTGAGTGTATACCATCACTACTGACGAACCGGTAACTTTGGATGCTGATATCTTCATAAGGACTTACGCGAAAATTTTCATTTCTATGGTTCGGATGCGTCTGAATGTAGGTTTCAGAAATATGTTATTGATTCATAAATACTACTTGAGAATTGTGATGTTACCTTTGCAAGGCATTTCAAGGTCACGTCACGGTCAAATACTTCCTGGTGTGATATATAATATTTCATACCCTGTAACTTTTATTTGACATACTTATCTGTATCACAGATATTTTTCGAGATAATTCAGTGTTCTTGATTCAGTCCCTATACATGTTTTTTAAACTTACTGTTATCTCGGTTACTATTCAGCTTTCAATCCATGTGTACTGGGATTTTTTTACTTAGTTTAGTGAGTTGTACGGGCTTATCGTTTGTCCGCAATAATTTAGAAACACCTTGTATATGGAATGTCTTTAATTGTTTTCCATACAATAATACCAATACATTTTACGTGTAAAAATAAGATAGAAATGTTATATAAATATAAGCTGAAAAATACTTCATCAAAAAGTTATATAAAAAAATGCGAAATAACATTTATATATATAAAGAATTAGTATTAGTAATTATTTAAGCAGTTGTCATCTTCTACCATTGAAAACCCAATTTTAAAGAATAAATTATAATACTGTCGTTATAAACCGTTATTAGTCTGTTATCAATATCTGACAACCCCTTTATTCCTGCATAATCGTCCAAGAGTTACAATACAGTAGCAATTTATGCAGAATTTTTTTATTTAAACATAAAATTAACTTCTATTCATCTATACAAATTAATATTAATTTTGGAAAAAGATGTCACAAAGTAATATTTAATTTTGTAAAAAGCAATTTTATAAAATATTAACAGATGTTTGTATCATTAGTAATGCTAAAGAGGAAGGAAAGTAATTTAGTGCAAGTATACATCGTTCGAGGAATTTGATATCAGACTTTCGTGAGAACTAGGCTTCGGAACTCTCGGTGTAAATTTCGTATAGCATACGTTTATACTTACACGTAAATCGTACGATTTTACGGTGATCCCGAGACCCTCTGCCAATGTTCGATAGATCGAAAATCCAGGTCGTGGTATCAGGATATTCTGGCCTTCCCGTGCTATAGCTGTTATGCAGAGATCCAATGCACAGGAACATCCACTGCAAAGGATCACGTCCTTCCAAAAGAAAGAAATGAAAAATCTAAGCGTTTTAAAGATACACATGAAAGCTACGATAAATATTTATAAGTAGTAAATATTCTTTTGAAAAACCTTTCATAGAATTATATTGAATTCGAGTCAATTACGTATTAACTTTCTGCATTCGTTAGATTCAATAATTTGTATATATGTTAAGGCAATATGATAAATTGGGGTACATACGTACAGTGATGCTCGCTTAAATTTCATAGAAATTTGCTCTATTTAATTCGACTGCACCATCCCTATTCTTCTCCTACTACTCACTGTCTCGAGCTCAGTGTAACGTGATCTTAATAGATAGGAGCAGAAAATGAACGTCGTCGCGACATAAACAATGATGAAAATTTCAGTTTCAGTCATTTCAGTCTTACTTTTTGAAATGTTGAATCAGTGGTTTATTAAGATTCCTCTAATTAAAATCAGTCCAAAAGCGACGTAAATCGGATTACTTTTATCGATTTGGGGAAAATCAATCTTTAATTTCGTTAATTAGATTAAGTCGATAGAACTAGTTCAATTTACGTCGTGTTTGGACTCAGTTAAATCAGAAAAATTTCAACGGTGCGTCGGTACTACATTTAAGGTCACAATTACTGCAATCGAAATTGTCTTCACTGCATGTTTATATTTGACACGTGCGGCGGTGTTTTGAAGTCCCTATGTATGTATAATTTCCGGATTAATCGAATATAAATATATATCGTATTCTACCTATCACGAAGGTAAGTAGACTGAAAATACTATCGGAGAGTTGAATTTCACATAGGAGAGTAAGACTGCGGTATTCAGTGTCCTTTTCTGTTACACGATGGGTCATCAAACATGAAAGCATAGGACGAAGTGGTACAGAAAAATGTGAATGATATTCTTCATTAATCAAATCGTTCATTCGCATCCATGAACAAATTGTGCCATATTCTGTCACTTTGTACTATAACAGAACGCAGTCGTTGCATTCGCTACTTTGACTAATCGATATTCGTTTGCTAAAAATGGATATTGGATAATTTGTGGCAAACTGTACGTACACATTAGACGTCGGTCTTTTATATTAAATCAACTAAATGAAGTAAGCGGAATGGAAAATATATTATATTCTGTTTTAGTTAAACAATACTGTCAACATTTTCAGTTGTGTATAAAATATGTGGTCATACTGTGAATCCCGACTCGTCCCCAGTTTGCACTCATTCTATCTTCGTCCACTGAAAATAAAATATAAGGAAAGCATTTTGAGCCGAGCTTGAGTGGGCTGAGAGTGGACCGACAATGTATATCGGGACTAAGCTTCCAATTCGTGTGCAAGTATCATCCGTTGCATGAAAGAAGGCAAGAAGAAGGAATGCGGGTCTGAATGGTCGGATTCAAAGGAGTCCTGTCCATTGCCTCACACATTTTCAACTCTAGAATACGGTAAGTCGCAACAATCACACACACTAAGTCTGTTTCGTCTCGCAAAAAATCTCTGTTGATTTGAAACAAAATACAGTTTGTTCAGTAGTTTCAGTCATATTGAAAAATTCTTGATAAACCTAACAAAATGCTATGTCCTCACCGATTTTGATGAATTTGGAATATGTTCTTGAGAGCACGGTTTTGAACAACTTTTTCCTATACATGTTATCGATGGTCGGCTTTAATTTCCCGAGATGATTGCGAAAAACTTTTGCTAACGTTACATTGAATTCTATATCCATGGACGTGTCCGTGAGAGAACAACAAGTATAGCCGTCAGTTCGGTGACGACTTGTATTAATCAGTCCTGGATATTCTCAAGTTTTACATACTCTCCCCTACAAAAGTTCCATCAATCCCACTGAATAAATGTAAGTTTTAGCTTTATTTCGTACGATATATAAACGTGAGTTTCATTTTGATAATAGTATCAAATGATTGTATAAATTGATTTTGACGATATATCTTCTAAGATGAAATTATAGTTTATATGTCGCTTAGTAAAAGCATTGAAAAAAACCCTATACGATAAATTATAATTTTAATATAACGCAGTTTCTATTTCGGCGCTGGGTAATATAATTTGACTTATGGTTTAGATAAATTAAAACTTTTTATTACGAAGTAAATTATTAATTATGATGGGTGGAATGGTAAAAAAGCTCGTATCTTCATTACTAAACGTACCGCGATCGGTCAAATGAGTCCTATCTAGGTTTAAAAATTTGATTAAACATTCTGCATTTCATTTCGTTCATTTATCTTTATATCAGTTCCTACATCGTCCGATTAATCAGTTTTTCAATCTTTGTCTTTCTTTTGTTGTGTTTTTCTTCAGAAATATGTATCGTTTAGTTTATTTACTTTTATTTTATAACCAGTTATTTGACTGGTTACGGTAGGAATACGGTATACTATTATAATAGTACATTTAGTGTTAATGCTGTCATATTATTTTCCTGCGACTTTGATTAGTTTTTGTTTATTACACCTATACATTGAAAGTAGGTTAGTTTCCTAAATTGGACCACCTAACGATTCTTAAATCGGAACGATCCAAATTAAATGAGGTTTTATTTTCTTTAAGAAAAGACTGTTTAAACCTGGAAGCTATAGAAAATGGGATAAAGAAAGAATAAGAAAGACTATAGTTGCATACGAAAATAATGTCGTGGATTTAAATAAAATCACCAGGAAGTATAAAACTTAAAAGTACGGGATCACTTGTAATGTAAGAACTGAAAGAAAGACGGAAAAAGATATCGTCGTGTTAAATCAATCTATATTTTCTGTGGAACCGTTTCGCAAAATGGCAGCTAGTACGCCCCTTTTCTGTCCGGACCTATCCTGCATTTTCCTCGGCACCTCCAGCGTACAAAGGTGGAAGCCTAAGGAAGATGAAGCCCGGGCCTGACCCTTTCTTGATGCCTCGCTGTGTCATCCCTTCCGCTTTCCCAATGTCTTACAGTAGTTTTCTTACGAAAACTCGTATATAATTCGTGTTATTTTTATTTTTATATAGTATACTCCTACTATTCAAAACAACATTTTATTTAGCTTTCTTTTGTATGCTGTTGAATCAGAATTTCTATTATTAGAATTGTTTTTTATTTTTCTACAGTACGTAAGTATTGCTGTTGCACACACGGTATCAGGTAACTGATGGTACAACCGAACAGGGGCTGATTTTATGTCAAAAAATAAGTCGAGAATATGTAATAACATTTTTTATGCTACGCTTTGTTTGTGAGAAAATCGACTTCGAATATTCGCCGGGTACGCGTTCACTCGTCTCGTTATTGGATCTCACTATAGATCGTGGTCTCGATTGAAGTTTATGTTGATAAAGACTTCTAGCGTCACTAAATTATTTATTGCATTTGAGCGTCCAAAATACGCAATGAAACAGGATGTTAAAGTAACCATAAACTTTATTATTACCGATATTGTTGAAAATATTGCTCATTCTGTTGAATACATAATCCTGTTCTTCTAATTAAATTTCTATGAACGCTTCCTAACGCATTCTGTTGTTTTAATGTATGAAACACTATAATAAGTAGAGTGTACATCGATTTCCCTTGCCCCTGTGCACTTTCAGCTTGTGGGTAATCGGCAAAAATTTGAAAGGCTTACTGTAGGATAGTGAGGACAGTAGGATAGTAAATACCTAAATTCGATTTTCTCAAAAATAAAACTTCGCGAAATGATTTTATTGTATATTTTCGACTTATTTTTTTATATAGAATCAGTCCCATTTTAGTTATACTACCAATTACATGACATCCTATATATTTTTATTTATAACAGATACTTATAGTATGCATTTTATACATTTCTTAACTAAAAGATAGAAAAGTGGACAGTTTCCTATATTAGATTGTTGACGCTATTTTAAAGATATTTTTTTTGTAACCAGACACATAATGTTTTAGTCCGTCCTTTTATACATACATATCGACCATAGTGATAAGATTCTTTTCTGCTTGAAAATATCAATATGTTTTTGATTTATAGAAGTATTTGCTTAAGTGGTCTAATTTAAGAAATCTTCCATTGTTAGCGGAACTAGATTTTTCTGGGTAGGAGTACAGAGGTGTTTAATATTTTTGTAAATCATTTTTTCTACTTTAAAGTAAAATGAATTTCATAAGAGTGTACGATTTCTAATAAAAAAGAATTGTGATTGTTATTGAAACTCATTTCTGTATATTGTACGGAATAATTGTTCGAACTTTTGTAAAAGAAGATATATCCATGTGAAACCCGAGAAGCTCGAGGGACGAACACGCAGCTATGTATACCTGACGCTCTCTCGCAGATGCGCTCATGGATATAGAATTCAACGTGGTAGTAGCAAGAGTTTGTCACGATTATCTAAGACACTATAACGTTGCAAAACTTTTGCCAAAGGGAAAAGTTGTTTAAAGTGTGCATTTCTACAATATTTGTCAGCTTCGTGAAAATCTGGAGCAGGGTAAGGGGACTGCAATGTTATGTACCAAAAACGACTTTACTTTAAAAAATGGGACAAAACTTTTTAAAAATACTTATAACACTGAAATTGTGTCTTATGAAAAAAACATTTCATACCGCGTATAACCTGCGACAGTCTTCATACTGCAGAATTGGACACTAACTCAGAATATATTTAATATTACTACTGTAATAAGTTCGATTAATTGATAAAGGACACAAAATAAGGTTTTACATTTGATGATTCGCACACTAAACTTTTACATACTTGAAAATTTAATATTTTATATATAATGAAATGCTTGATATTTAAAAATTTTTGTATAATATTATTATTGCAATGAGGATATATGTACAAGTAAACGTTTACTTTCGCAAGAAATATAAAATTAAAAATATATATATGTAACACATATAAGGAAAAGAAAAGTAATTGCTTATGTCTAAGTATCCGAAATCTGTTACCTATTTTATTATATGCGGTTCTGTCGTTGAACCAAAGATACAATCCACTCAACCCTTAATTGGCGGTATTTCTTCTT